TGCTTGGACGGCATTTTGACAACTGAAGAGTGAATTCCAAAATCAAAATAGGAGCAACATTCTACACACACACACCTTCAAAATGAGGGGTGTTCAGGTTTTTTAAATGCAAAATTGAAAGAAATACGTCAAGTTGATATTGACCAAATTTTGACCGTATCATCCTTTACAGTACTTGGGGGCCTCAATACAGATCGAAAGATCAATGGGGAGGATGGGGTTGTAAAGTTGAGTCACCCTACACAGAAAAAAAAAATCTGAATTTTACTGGTATTGTAAGCTTCCATGCATGCAAACATTCATCCATGCAAACTTCCTTTTCACGTAAACTAGAAACTTGCAAGACATGTTGCTCACAATGATGGATTGTTCCATACAATAACTGGAAAATTTAATTAATTGTCTCATAACTTTAAAACAATTTATAAAGAAAAGACAGAAATTTACACTACATTTTCGAACTGTGTGAATGATTCTGAGTGTAATAACGTGGATGTATCTCCAATTTTTTTTGGGTGCATTTGATTGCAAATGCTGAGTGAGCGTTTTATTGAGAAAAAAAAAACACATTTGCTTCATAACTTTAAATCGAATTTCATACATTCGAATTGCTATTGGCAGATAATAGTAGACACACTCGCCAAAAACGATATTGCACTCGAAAAAGATTGTTTTCATATTTTTTCAGTTTCTCGTTTTATTCGTTCTAATGCTGTCAGTTACAAGTAAACGAACTTTGAAGAATTTACACTTAATCAATTTTGAGAAAAACCTAAAATTTAAAATCTCATGCATGAGCTTATTCATAAAGCGAGATTGAACAACGCAATAACTACCGATGATATTTCCGGTTCAAAATTAAATTGTTTAAATTTTTTACATATTTTTTGCATTATTTGATAAAACTAATAAAACATAAAAAAAATAAATTGGAGATGCCAGTGTGTATGAGATTTGAGTATAATTTTCCGTAAACTGCAATCAATAAACAATCTGCCAGCAAGCAAGAATAACTTTTGTAATTCTGTGGTGCTCTTGCGAGTAAATCAATTAACTTTAAACAAACTTTAAGCTGCACACCATTCAGTAAGTCTCACCTAGCGAATATGTTGCCAACAACTGATCGAGTCGCCATGTTAGGGGATAAAACTAGAAGTAAAATGGCACTCTAGTTAGTTCCATCTAGAGAGATAATGCTGAACTGAACTGTCTACGATCTGAACAACTTTTCTCAAGACAATTTTTTTGAAGAATTGTCCTGGAATGTGGCTAGCTTTTGTCAAAGAATGCAACCTTTTATGTAGTCGAAATCTTGATAGTGGTATTAGTCGCCCTTTCCCTCGTATCACTAGTTTTTGGTCATTAAGCTTGATCAATTTCCAATAGCTTACCATTGATAAACAATTATATTTTAAATATCAAACTAATCTTAAACAAAATTATAATTACAATGGAAATCAATGAATAAATGGAATCCATTGAATGTTTTATAAAGCTTAAACACTGGCCAGACTGAGAAATTGTAACATGTTGTAAGGCTATCTTGATGAATCTACAATAAAAGGTCGAAGAACAAAAGGTTGAAATGACTAAATATCGAAGAACAAAAGGTCAAAGGGGACAAAAAGTTGAAAGCACAAGGTACAATAGATCGAAAGGATAACACTAGTTTACAAATAAAAGTAAAAAAATGAACTTGAATTTTTGACCAATGATTCTTATGTAAAATCGTGCACTGAGTCAGTAGGATAGTTTTCGAGATACAACTAAAAATGAAAATTTTAAAATAAAAATGAAAATTAAAAAAAAAACTTTTTTAATTTTTTTTAAAAGAAAGTTTGTTTACTACAATACAAATACCTCCGGTTGTAATGAAACTACATAAATAATATTAAAGGTAAGACATTTTTTTCCTTCAATTGAACATCAATTGTCAGTGAGATTAGTGCTATTGTTGTTAATTAATAGTTTGTTTATTATATTTTTTATAATATTATGCATTATCCAAGAAAAAAATTAATTTCTGCTGAGTTTTTAAGCAGTGTAAATAAAAATGTTTGTAGTGGTTGTACCACTAATCTCACTGAAAAATGGTGCAAAAATGATCGAATGAAAATTTCATCATCTTTAGTTTGACGTTAAAAATATTAATATAACTTCATTAAAATAGGAGATATTTGTATTTTTATTAACACATTTTTTAAAAAGTTTTTTTAGCTATATCTCGAAAACCATCCTACTGTGATTTTCTGGACTACATTTTTTGGATTCAGCGCATGATTTTACATGAGAAATGTAATTGTTACAGAGTCGAACATCCAAGACAAAAAAAGCTGTAAGGACAAAACTTTAACTGAACTAAAGATAGATTGAAGATAGAATCAGAATAACCATAAAAGGTTTTAGGGCTATCTCTTATATCTACTTGTACGTGATGAAGTATATGGTTGACCACATTACATGAGAATAGAACACGTTTCTTCCGATTTCTTGCCAAAATGGATATAGTGGCGTGATGAATTAGAACTAAAATATGTGTCATGTTTTGTTACTGTACTCATGAGCAGAATGGTTCAAAAAAAGATGTCCAAGATCAGTTAAAAACTGCCCTATTATGAAAAAGGTCTGAAATAGACCAAAACAGTGCAAAATAATTTGTAATCATTAGCTCATGGATTTTGTCTACAGGAACTGCTGACGGAGGAGTAATCTCAATGACTGAGAAAATAATTTTGAGTATTTTACGTTGCATTGTCCAATAGCTTTTTCTGCCAAAGATCTGCTCATGTTATAAAGAAGGAATCAACTACATGGGTGAAAATGATTAACAGCAATTTCAGATAGATATTTTCAAAAGAAATTGTTTGTCAAGCCCAAGTAGCATTGCAAGTTTTATCGAGGTTTTAAAGCATTCTACAAGTCTAAATCATAGTCTACAGAACCCTCATAAAACCCAAATTGTTACTTGGGAAGGAACTGCTTATGTCACAAAGAAGGAGTCGACTATAAGAGTGAAACATTAGTTTTGAGTTAGATTATTCAAAAGTTTTTGTCGGTCAACAACTGCCTATGTTATAAAGAAGAAGCCATCGTTAAAAAAGAATAATTACTTGAAATTTCAGTTAAATTGCTCCTACTACGACTTAGTTTAGTTTGGCCGCTTGCTTTACTCAGTATATTGCATTTTCAGCTTTCTTTCTCTTTGACCTTTTGTCCTTCGACCATTTGTCCTTCGACCATTTGTCCTTCGACCTTTTGTCCTTCGACCATTTGTCCTTCAACCTTTCCTCCTTCGGCCTTTTGTTCTTCGACCTTTTGTTCTTCGACCTTTTGTTCTTCGACCTTTTGTCCTTAGCCTTATAGTTATACATTAATGGACATTTATATATAAATACAACGCATAACATATGTGTCCATAGGACAATTAAAAATACCCATATTCCCCTTCATGTTACCCAAATCGTGACATTTAATTCTAAACATTAAATACGGCAGCCGCCAGAAACTCAGGAAATCACTAACGCTGAAAAACTGGTACCTAGCACATAATGTGGGACGGCAACAGTATAAATCAGTTTAAATTAAATTTTCTCGCCACCGCACCGTGTGAAAGGCAACTTTGGTTTACGATAAGTGTCGGTGGCGGCGGTTGGCTTGAAACCGATAGCAGAGCACAACTCGACGTTATTACGAGTGTGTTTTCTGGAGGGCGTCCAATAATCGGCTTCGTGGCATTGCAATCGAATGCCAAGTATCGTTCGAATGAGTGAGCGCTTTTTTTTTCAAACGGAAGCGGAAGATCGGCACATTCGATTGGGAGAAAATCACTCTTTTCCGATTAAGCTTTGGTAGCTCTGGAAGCGCTGGGAAAATATACGACCGAGGTAGATAATGTGTTGTATGCCGTGGTGATATTGAGAGGATTTTCGGCTGTGATACGATACCATTCGCAAACCTTCCCGGAAAATGAAGGGAAATCCACCGAAGGGCGAAAAGCTTTTATCACAACAGTGAATGGTCAATATAGGATTTTTCATATACCTTTTGGTGTCAACAAGTGCTACTGCCCTTGTCATTTCCATTAGAAATAGTATTCAGAGTATTATTTTCAGCGACTGATATAAATTGTTTAAAATGCATTGATGCGTGGTTGCTTGAGGATTGGTTTCCGATTTTACTTTACGTTTATATAAGAACAGGTGTACGTGATAAATGATTCCGAAAGTCATTTATTTACATTCGGTAACGAAAGGTTTTCTTGCCTTAAAATAATTGTCTGTGAGCACATACAAATTCACGGCTCGGTGGTGATTTGGCAGTTACCTCTCAAATCCTCCATAATTGATGTGTTGATCCATGGGTCGCCTGGTAAAAAATGAATGAAACGTTGAATATTTCAACATCGCTCGATCTGACCGAAGTTCCACAGCAACAAGTCCGTAAATCCAATTGTCCCAGCCATTTCCACAAACAGGCAAGCGCGTTCTGATTGGCTTTTTTTTACAAAATTGAATATTCCACACAATAGAAATCGGCAGCTATTTTCGCATAATCCCTGAACGAAATCACAACTACGATAGATTTACCATCCATATGTGTGTTCTGTCTGGGTGAGGGGAATGTGTATCTTCCAGAAAGTGTCAGGAATAGTGTTGAACAGTAGCAAAAGGATCTGAATAGAGAATGATTCTACCCCCAGGACCTTATTCGGTGAATTTTACGCTAAATTAAATAAGCATGTTTATTGGAGCATCGATTCGAAATGCAATCAAAGTTTATCCTTTTCTTTGCTCGTACTTTTCGTCTTATTGAGATCTTGGGGATATGTTCCATATCACCGCATCATCCCTGGGGAGAAAATATAATATTTACAAAATGATAGTTACGGCGAAAAACATAACGAAGGAAAAATACGGTAAAACGAACGGCCAATGAAAACTTGCGAAAGGATAAAACTTCTGCTCTATTTTTTTTTCGGATCATTCATAACAGCTTCGGTGTTGGATAACGTTAGCATAACACTTTATTTTCTTTCGATTTATTTTTCGGAACAACTTTTCTTAAAGCACATCACTTTGTCAAAGTGATTTCCAACCTTTCGTTGATCCAATAAGCTCTCGTAAATTAGTTATCACAGTCTGAAGGATATTATTAATCGGACGCTCAAGTAACTCTTTTTATATCGCGATTACGAGTGCGAATTTTTGCTTATGCTAGGTATGTTCCTTCATCTTTTTGGAAACACGGGATTAATCCTGTGATGGTGTTGTCTTAGGTTGGCTTTCGAGGTTGGCATCAAAGTGATGATCAAAACTCGACTTGCTTTTGATCCGTTAATCAGGCTTCACTTTTCTATTCCTATCCATAGTCACTCAATGTTCGATTGCTGGTTTTTGTTGCTTTGAGAATTTTGAGAAGATTATTCGGAAATTATGAAAAATCAAATTTTATTGTTGTTGCAAAAAAAAAAAAAGATTTCCTATTCAGTCCAGGAAAATTTAATTTGAAAATTGATATTTAACATAAATATCGATATCAAATCAAAGTAGTCACATCTTTTTGAACTTTTAGGCAGTCACTCATAAATATTTACGCCATGTGTGCTAATTTTGAGCTACCGACAAGTACATATAACATTAGAAGTGACTTTGGCGTAGTAACAACAAAAGGCCTGGCAGAATGGGGTCAGGGTAAAGTGAATGCCCTTCTGATTCACTGGTATATTATATTTTCCAGAATTTTTAATGATTTGTTAGATCAAGTATGTTTGGCAAACTACAAGATGACAACGACTTTTTCCAAGTTCCTGAATATTTGGTTGATTTTGAGTCGAAGTTCAATGTCTTTTCTGAGTAAAAAAAAAATATATATATAATTCCACTAGGCGTTGTTTGACAATATAGGGTAAATTTGCCTATTATGGATCCCATAGTAGTTGTTTTAACTATTTACGCTGAATTCATTACCATTTAATTTATGTTTCAGAATGAATTTTTTTGAATAAGGTACACGTTTATCCTTTGCTTTGTATGACTGTTATATAAAATAGGTAATTTACTTGATTTTACCCAGAAAAATCTGCATTACAATTTTAAGCCACCATTAACCTTTTATGGATTACCCGGGTCCATTACAGAATTGTTTACATCCCTTGATGGACCGTTTAGAAGAAATTCATTTTAAACATAAGAATTCAAGGTATTTATCCCAAAAATGTAAATTTACATGTAATGTCCTAATTTGAACCCTTCGACAGCTCTTGGCAGACTTCACCATAAAATGCATTTTTTCCTGGGTTTTAATAGTGTACCAATATTTTCCATGAACTAGAGTTGAATGAGGTGGAGTTTACCTATAAATTGTTTCAATGTTTCTATTAAACTGCATTAATCCGTAAGCTATTCTTTTATAAAGTGTCTACTTGAACTAATTTGAGATCTTGAACTGAAAGAAAATTTAAGTTCATTCAACATTCTTAGCATTGAAATTCATTTGGCTTTGAAATACAATTACGCTGTCTTTTCACACCATTTCACTGCAATATATATGTATGGATTTCACTGAATATTATTAAAATGATAAAAAGGAAAAAGAACTAGTCTTAACCATTTAATTTCAATATGTTCGATTTGTATCCATGACATATACGTATTTCGACTAAAATAGGTTACATTTACAAAAAAAAAAATCGTTCTAGAACCTTTCGACACTAGTTTTATATGAATGGTAACAGTTTATGCTTTCGTTAGGTAGGTATTCCAGCGATACTATTTTTTTTATAAAGTTTTCTTTCATATATACTGTGTCTAGCTTATTATTGAAATGAAACATTGAGCATTTCTACAGTTGTTAATTGAGAAATTTCTAAGCCTGTACATTGGTATATATTGTGTGGCAAGTACAATCATACTCTATGCCCAGGGCATTCGAGAAATTTTCCTCCAAGAAAAATCCTAGACTGAACCGGGAATTGAACCCAGCCACTTCCAGCATGGTCTTGCTTTACAGTCAGAATGCCGAAAATGATCAAACACACTTGAAAAGCTTAGACTGGTGTGAAATCGTTTTAATAATAGTTGTTGACAATTTTATTGATTGGAATGCATGGAACAGTCAGCAGCAAATACATTTTAACACACAAACCCTAAATTTTTGTGCGATGCAAAGAGAAAATCCCCATAGAAGTGCGGACGCTGCTGATATTATTGTTGTGAATACAGGCGCTGGATACCCCGATACCTCTTCAAGCGCATAACGGTTAAAGATGCATAATCGTGAAAAAATATTCCAAATTAAATAAATAATAATCAAGATTTGGAGATGTGAAAAAAATCTTAATATCTGGGGTAAAACACTCCCCCGGAGAAAGATGGCGTTTTGGCATTTAAAATACGTTTTTTACTTCTTTTACGAATATCTGTGAATCAGCATTGAACTGCTAGATAAATCCGCGAATGTTTTGGAAATGTATTTAAATTTGGCAAAAGGTCATCTTGTACCGAAGGTGCATTTCACCCCATGTACCCTGCACATAAAAATACCCATACAACGGAACATTGAGTGTTTTTCTACATTTCCTCAGCTAACACGATTTTCTTAAATTATGTTGATGGAACATACCTGTCTTAATCGGATTTAGGCTATTGGATTCCCAATAAATATTATCTATCGAAATATCATGACTTACGTACGTATCGATTATCGTCTTGTTACTCGTTAAATGGCAGCTCGATATTTAATAAACTTTCCTAATTCAAATATTCTTTTCTATTTTTACTCTTGCTCTCGTTGCATGAATTGCATGTTGATAAAAAAAAACCGTACCGTGCTGATTGTGTGCTTTTATCACGCTGTCGATAAATAATTTAACTGTACAACATTATTGAAATCGTAATCGTAATCGTAATAATTGATGGACGAAAATACGCCCATACTGGAAATTTAAACTGAAAACAAAAATATAAACAAAATTACACCTAACGGAAATAAAACATAATAACAAAGGAAGAATCGGGTGAGATTGGAGATGTTTTCTTATTTTTCTATCTCCAACCATGGAAACTTTATCATTTCTTGCGTCGTGCTCCTTTCTTGTTCGAAACGGGTTCTTCCGGCTGTGGTTCCTCTGCTACGAAGCAGAGAGGCTGCCCAAACGCACGAGACGAAAGGATAGTGTCGTCTTCCTCGGCTGGAAGATTGGTTTCACACGCAAAAATACATATTTATTAATGCAAGAATATTGCGCGAATCAAAGGCAGTGTAGTGTTGTGGAAGCGTAAATACACACTGAGTGAAGAGTAAGGCACACGCACTCTCAAACGCTCAGCGGCGCCAGATCATCCGGTGCAGTATAAATATAGTGAAAGTCATTTGAAGATCTGCATAGTTATGAGTGAAGCAAGTGACAGACAAACATGCTTTCAGAGTAGGTGTATGAATGTGCGCATCCATATGGAATTGAGTTCCTTAATTAATGTGGAATCTTTAACATTGGATGTACAACTTTATTGATTTAATTTCAATGTTAGCATTATGATGGGATCCATGCATCCGAAGGAACTGTGCTAAATGAATTTTTGTCAGAAATATTTCTGTTAGTATGAAGCTTACAAAGAAAAACTGGTTTACTCTTCCCATTGACACCGGTAATTTTATTTTATGGCATTCATCTGCGGATATAGTAATACCCAAGTTTCAACGAAATAGTGGATATTATTATTATTATTATTATTATCATTAAACTCCTTACAGTGTTTACGTGGCTTACCCTAAAATGAATGGCTCAATGGTTATAAGAAATAGTGTTATGCGTAGACCAAGCCATGAATTTTATGTTTATGATCGATAGACGGATTGAGAAACAATAGCAGAGAGTAGCATTCTATGTTCAGAAATAGTAAATTGACAATAGCATATTTATAAATTTCCAGTTAATCATGGGATCAATATTCTACTAGTGTATCAATTGTATCAATTTTATAATTTTGAATTAATCGAAACGATTTTTTAACGTTATTTCGATCGGTTAAAAGACGGAATATCCAATGAAAAAAACATTGAATATTCCATAAGGGGACTAAATAAAGTCAAATGGACAAAACATGGAACGATTAGAATGGACAAAATCAGGGTTGCTTCCACCCACTTCGCTATTAAAATTATTATGCAGAACTATGGAATCATTGGATGCTATAATGATATTTTGAACGTGTAAGTTTCAAGATGAGGTTGAAAAGTATGCGTTTGACACATAACACCTGTAAATTTCGCTTTCAGAGAGTCACTATCAGCTACTTTATTATTCGTGAGCTTTTATTCTGAGTGAACGCTTGCAAAGTGAGTGGAAGCAACCCTGGACAAAATGTTAATGAGCGGAGAAACTAGGGTATAGAAAATGTAAATAAATATGACCCGATAATATTGATATTATCGATATCTGGTCTGCAAAACTTTAACGTTTGAATGTCCAAAAGTATTCAAAGGAGCCGAGAACAATTATTCATGAGTTCTTTTTAGTTTTTGTGGGAGGCGAGCTTTGCTTCCGCTTTCTGCCATGCCCGCAACTCGCCTTCTTCTTGCAATAGTTTTTCCATCAACAGTACCTTCTCGTCCTTTATTCACTCCTTCTCGGTATAGTCTACTATCCAAAATGGCCGAATTTGATCAGAAATGGTAATGATTGTCCATTAAAACAATTATGCCAAGTTTCATGCAAATCGAAGAAGGTCGAATTTTCCAGTTCGTTATTTGGTGTGAAACTGCTCTATACAAGTCTCCAACTTGTAGCAATGGTGAAAAGATTGAAGGTGTAGATAGCTCCCAGTCCGGGCGTTCCCGGACATGTTCAGGATGGTGCTGCAGAAATGTCTGGACGAGGGTTACTTCTCATACAGCTGGAAGATACAGAAACTAGTTTTTTGGGTCATTCGTGACTTGTCCGGAGTGAGATTTAAACTCATGACTTTGGCGTGAGAGGTATGGATGTTACACCAAGGTCGCCCCCTACAGAAGCTAGTGTTGCTGCCGATGCCAGGAAAACCGCCGTGGAATTCATCATCGTATAGGTTTATATGCTTGCTGGATACTCTTGGAGAGGATCATCCTCAACAGGCTGACGAAATGTACGGAGGCGAGAACGGATTGTCGAAGATGCAGCTTGGATTCCAGAAAGGAAGATCTACGGTGGAGGCAATTCGGATAGTGGTCGAGATAACCGAGGAGTCAACCAAACAGAAGCGAAATCCACAAAACGAAAGTGCTATTGGTCAGTAGCTGCAAAACGGCGTAACGAGCAGAAATCACCAGCAGGGAGCCCGCCATAGCCTCGAAGCGCGTGCTGAAATACCTGGGAGTGATGATCGATGACCGGCTAAGCTTCAACAGCCACGTCGACTACGCCTGCGAGATGGCGGCGAAGGCCATGCCTCGATTTGAAGCAGTGCGACGGGAAATGTCTTCCCTTAGCGCAAAGAATGTTGTCGAAGAAATGTGTAGAGAGGAGAGCAGCCGCTAAAATACTGTCTGAGCAGCAACGGTTGTGGAGAAACGCTCAGCGTGTGCTAGCAAGCCAAATAACACCAATACGGATAATCACAGGTGGGCTGGAACTCACGGTACGCTAGTGTTGATAGCTATTTGCCGTTAATGTTTATGAAAAGTTCACTATTTTGCCATAAACTGTGCCAAAACAAAACATTTACGGGCGGATTTGGATTGATTTGGACCTGTTTCATACGACCAGAAGGTGTATGCTGGCAGTAAATGCCCTGCAAAATTGATTTTCAACGCAAGTGATTTGAATTTTGCGAGTAAACACGAGGAGCCATACACAATCGTCTTAGTTCATTTTAGTAATCAAACTAACACTTCTTCCTTCTGTGGTAACTATGATTATCCGCCTTGAGCTAGCGCTGAGATTATGAGAGATGAGCACAGCCTCCTCCGCAACAAACAACGTAAAGTTGACATTACAACTGTAAATCCTCTCTGCTTTGCTTAGTGTCTGTAGTTACCTATGGAGAGATGATACAATAGGGACAGACAAACATTCGAGATGGATGGCATATTTAATTATCCAGCAATTATAACATGTAATTTCCATTTACAAAACACTGATTTATAAATTGCATGTCATTGTAGAATATATAAGCCCTCTTTGATGAAATTGATTGAGCCAACTTCGAAGGCACTAACATATTTTAACAATTACACATCAACACGATAAAGTAACGAACGACTAGGCTAGGGTGCCAGGATATCGAATTTAATGGAATTCCAGAAAGGAGGGGGATATATATATATATATATATATATATATATATGTATATATATATATACATATATATATATATATGTTGTGATTTCTAAGGATCACACCAAACAATCAATGGATGGACACAAATAGCTATCATGACACACAAAGAGAGGAAGGAGTATTATTTTTTCCAGCTGTTCCTGCAGCTCAATTACTTTCTGGCAGCGATACTGATCGATGCTGGGCTGAACGCATTCTCAGCATTCCAAACCCGGACATAGGACGAAAACCGGCGAATAATTTCCTCTTTGTTCCAGAATCGATTGCGGACGCGTTTCCTGATGAAGTTGACACGGAAGAGCCAGCAATATTTGGTACCGGGAACCGCAAGTCTGGTTGATTCGGAAGCATGAAAGGAATGTTGAGTTCGATTGTGTAGTATTCTAATGTTTATACAACTGATGAAACCTGTCAATCAAGTGATATTATTTTTATATTGAGAGTTAAAATCTTTTATATATAGTTTAAAATTTGTTTAATCATTGCATATTGCAGACAATTTTGTTTAATTGTATAACATAAATTTAGTCAACATTTTTGAAAAAATAATGTCAAGTTCTTATGTATTAAATTGCATGTTTAGTAATCTTTCTAGTGCAGCCGAATTTGTGGCTTAATAAATAAGGTTCACGAGTTTGTGATCGATGTAATGTCTGAAAGAACAGTAATCAATCAAAATAATGTGTATCTCTAATGTTGATAAAGGACACACTCTGTCTAAATGACTGTCTACTTTTAGTTCGCATTAATTCACTTGTTTGACAGGATTGAAACACTGCATTTCTTGTTCTAAAGTAATATTGGGATCGGTCTATTAAAGAAATCCTCTATTTCCTGTTGAACTATGGAATTGAATACAATTTAACGTTTCTGTAAGAAAAAAAAAACTACTCTCTGTAAACGACAATACTATGGATCTATAAACTATTTTAATGAAGGAACAGAAAACAGATGACAAGCTTGTGCAACAAATCTACACAATCTATATACAAGTTTGAAACGAAACTACATTTTCTACGATTTCAGCAGTGGAATCTGAAATGATTCGACAGCCACCTGGAAACTATGTCCGAACATAAAACGAAACGAAAAACAAAATGCAAGAGATCTTCAGAACGCAGAAAGAGAGAAATGAGCAGAACAAAAAGCCTCTAGTGATTTTCGAATTCAATGCGGACCTGAGCTGGACACGTCGGTCGTGGTCGGCGCCGAAAGTCCCTGTTTTTGCTGTTGGTAATTTGGCCCCTGAGATTTGACTGGTCCCCTCCTAGGTGTTCGATCTGGATAATCAGGCACATTGACTACAGGTATTTCTAGCTGTGGATTGCTAGCACCAGTCATCGCATTGGCATCACTAGTTGAAATGTTGGTTTGAGCTTTTGATTCGGCAGCTTTGCCGCTGGAAATTTCATTAGCCTTTTTCAAGACTTGATAGATCTGATCGATGTCGGCCGGTTCTGTGGGCACGTTGTAACAAATGATGAAAGCAGGGTTGTTTACAATTCATAATGAGACATTGAGAAAATGGTGATTCAAATAATAAAGTAAATATCTGTGAAAGTTCCAGTTTTTCTTTGAGTTTTAGCTGATATTAGTACTCTAAAGGTGTTCGCACTTTTTTTTTGTTTAACGATAATGACACCGATGCTTGAATATTAATTGTACGTGTACTATGTCTAAAAAATATACCTAATTCAAGCGATCCCAATATTGAAAAATTACGTGATGCCTGTTCTGCTTCATCTACCCCTACATAGATAATGATGAATGATTTTGTAATTTAATGAAAGTGTCATTCGGATCACGTGTTGAGTTTTGGTCGCAACCAGTGTACTTAATTATTCGTGAGATGAAACCGACATTTATAATGTAAGAATACTAGGACAACACTAAATGACTTACTTTCTTCCTCCACTTCGGTGCGGTTCTCGATTTCGGAAGTACTCTTCTGGCGCCGGAGCAACTTCTGCTTGACTTGGCATTTTGGCAGCTGTGATGCACAGTCGGCGTGTACGTTTACCTTGCATATCCTGCAGCGAAGACCTTGCCGTGTGTGACCTGAATAGAACGAGAGATAACAAATGGTTGTTAAAGAGATTTTGTAGTTGTATAGCGCAGCAGCAGAGAAAAGAGTGAAATTGTTCATTGTAACTATATTAAAGACACTGACAATAAAAAAATAATAAAAACTGAAATTGCTGCGCGCTTAGCTTTCGACCACAAAGTACCATGCTACTGCATATTTAACACTTCGAGAACCACACTGAAATGAACTCGTCACTTTTTTTAAAATAATGTATTTCAGATTCATCCTAAGGAAAATATGAGCAAAATTTCAAACTAGCTTTGACACAAATGAACATTTCAAGGGTTTTTTCACCACAATTCCAAGAAAGTTTCAATACGGATATGTTCAGCATCGCTCTACAACTACGAATCTGATGTGCTCAAAAACACACCGTTCCGCGAGGTCGAACATCGCTATCAGGTTAACTCAGTTTACATACTTAATTCAGATCAGAGAAGTCGGTAGGAATTTACCGGGTTTTTGAACAGCAGAACAAGTCGGTAAAATTTTCAAATGACCGTTACACGTGAGAAATCATGAAAATTTATAAATTTTTAAATTAAATTTTTAATTTTTCATCAATAAATGGGGTAAATCGAACAAATTCTGTACAAGTTCAGAATACATTTTCTAATAATTGGATTTTTCACTGATTTTTTAACTTTTACCGAACAGTTCTGAAGTTCAAAATTTACCGAACGATGGATGCCTGGATTAGTGTGTACATAGGTTTTTCAAAATCATTTGATATGGTACCTCACGTGCGTGCCTGTGAAAAACTAAAAGCTATAGGACTCCTTGATTGGCTGTTTTATAACACCCAATTAGCCATACATTCGTTAGCCATAAGTACGTTTACTATAAGGACGTTAGCCATACTGTTATTTTCGTATGTGGACCTTAGCAAATTAACTAACATTTTTCAAATACATGTTTAATGTCGTGAATATTTCAATTGAATGTTTCATAAAAAAATATCAAAGAACAGCTTATGCTATAAATTAGCAGTCAACTCCAAAAGAGCTGTCACTTTTGAGAATTTTCAATTGGAGTTTTCAATCTATTGTATCGTCAAAGAACAGCTAAAGAATGAGTCAACTCCAAGATAAAAATTATTTGTGAGTATTTCAATTGATTTTTTCATAAAAAAATATGTATATCAATGAACGACTCAAGATTTAAGGGGAAATTTATAACTCAGAAAAAAAAACTTGACAAGTTTTTATTTTTCTAAAGATGTTGGGAAAAAACCATCATTTTCCTTAGATTCCTGAGAAAATTTACATATCAAAATATTTTTTATTTCTTATCATCTAAAAAAATTGGAAAACCAAAATGTTGATGTTTTGTGGTTTTTTGAGTCCAATTTTATTCCATGATGACTTATAAAGAATGTATTTGCATGTGAATTTTCTTTGGAAAATTAGAAAAAATAGATATTTTTGATTTTTGATATCTTTTTCCAATATTTTTTAGAAAAATCAACAAGAAATTATTATTTTCGGAGCGGTGAACTTCCTCTTAAAGAAGAAGTCAACTTCAAGGGGAAAAAATGTGATTATTTTAATTGAATTAAAAGTCATGTAAAGGAGTCAACTTAAAGAGAAAATTAATTTGTGAATATATCAATTGTCAAATAACAGTTCATGATGTAAAGAAAGAGTCAAATCCAAGAAAGATGCTACTTTTGAGAATTTTCAGATGGAATTTTCAAAAGCTTTTATCTGTCAAAGATCAGCTAGAAACAAGGAGTCAACACCATGTGCAGCATAATTTGTGAGTATTGACGCTACGCCACTACCTGGGGGTACCCGGAATATATCCGGGTGTAGTCTATTTGGTGAGGCTACCAATCACCTTATCATCGTATTTTAATGTGATTTAATAGGTTTTAATTCAATTCATATTCAAGCAACTTCCCCGGGGTACCCGGAACATGTCCAAGTGTGTCCAATGTGGTCTGGAACACTTAACACGACTTGCATTGATCTTATTTTTGAATTCTGTAGTAATTTGATGTATCGCATGATGGTTTTGATACGTTTTCCGTTAAATCCAGCGTGAAGGCCCATATTCACCGGATCTTATTCCGGCCATATCTCCGGAACCGGTTCACCGATTCCCAAACCGTTCAATAGCGTTCAATGGGACCCCAAGACCTATCATTTGGCGCCGAGTTTGTCCAAATCGGTTGAGCGGTTGCTGAGAAACGTGAGCGCATTCATTTCGTTACACACACACAGACACACACACACACACAGACATGTTCCGATCTCGTCGAGCTGAGTCGAATGGTATATGACACTCGGCCCTCCGGGCCTCGGATCGATAGTCGGTTTTTCAAGTGTGAAGTCAACTCAAAGCTTGAAATGATCTGTGCATTTCCATTGCATGGTTCGATTTTGGTACCACCAACGTAAAGGGCACCACGCGAGTTCGAGAGGAAATTTCAACCAAACCGTTTGTTTACATCAGAAGAAAGGATTTTTCACAACGCAAATTAAAGCATTTTTCATTGAACTTGTTGCCAATTTCCATCAGTAATTGTCTTATTATACGATTTTCCACACATCTGAACTGATTTGCACGTAAACTATTCACACAAAAGAAATCCGGAAGATTATAACCACTAAGGCACTATTGGAATTTTGCATTTTCTCAACAAAAATATTTCTGAACACTAGCAGAATCCTTGCAACAATTATACAGAATTAAATTTTTCAACGAGCATCTCAGATGAATCAATTTATCAGGAAAAGTGAAAAAGTGTTCCGCTTCCAATGTCTCACAGCAAAAATTTCTGCTTACAACACTTTTTTTGACGTTCTCATATTCACCATCAGAGGATAAATCGATCGCTTAGTTTCTATTAAAAAGACATGTACTGACAATTTGTTAGTGTGGTGCAATGAAAATAGAGTGAAAGTCAATATAAAAGAAATGTAAATGATTTTCATTTTCTCGTCACTGCGCCACTATCAATCACCAGTACACATTGTAATCCATGCCGTTGAAGCGAGTGTTTTCAATTCTCGATCTAGGGGTTATGATTGACCCCAAATTGAAAAAAAAAATTACGTCGCACTAGCAAGATCAAAGGCATTTGTTGTTCTCGACTTCACTCGTCATTACGCTTGGAAGTTCACGGAAGATACTGTACTGCACTCTAGTCCGTAGCCTCCAAGAATACGCTTCTCCCATCTAGGCTCCATTTCATAAAAATTGAACGGATGCAGAGCCTATTCAATATATTCACACTACGCCATTTGCCGTGGTGCGATCCTCTGTATCTACTAGACTACTCAGCTCATTGCGCTTTGATTCGCTTGGAGACATTGCATGGAAGGCCCCAAACTATTCGGCAACTGTTCATGTTCGAAAAACTTGGTGGAAAAATCGACTGCCCTTAATTGCTCCAGGAAATTCCTCTCTATGTTCCACTCCGGCAATTAAAGAGATCTCCCCTTGTTTCTGTACTTGCACGTCAGAACAACCCACTAAACTCTTGTCTGAAAGCCACGGGGCTTGGAGCTAATGAAATCGATCATCGTTCCGCAAAAACACAACCGAAAACTTCTAACCAGGGGCCTGGTTGGCAGCCATGTTTTGATGTTATAGTCTGCTCTTGTCTTCCTGCTTATAACACGATTTTCCGTCCCTTTCCACCAGGCCCCACTTTTTAATTGAAAATCAAGATAATTGTAAGATTTATAATAAATTGGTATTCGTAGATTTATTTAAATAGCATGATATTATTAGAAAAATGCTGTATTTATTGACTGTAAAACCATAACAATCCTTAACGCTTTACACCGATATCCCCTACTTGCGACACAACATACATTGATGCAAAAAAGGTACTGGCTTGGGCTGTTAGCATGATAGGCTTTTCATCATTTAAAATTCTAGTCACTTCCTTGGAGACATTAAACATTTAAGGTACACCGGGGCAAGTGGGAACTACACATTCATCCATATTAAACCAAAAATACTGAAACACCTCGTACACAGCAAAAAATTCTGAATTTTAATTGTGATGTAAACATTCATACACGTAAACTTGTGTTTCATTAAACGCAAACGAGCAACTTGTATGCAATGTTGTTTAAAAATATGGGCTTTTGTATACAATAGGTGCAACTTTTCATGAAATGTCTCTGAACTTTACACGATTTATAATGTAAATTTATATGATACATGACGCTCCATTTGTGTGCATCACATTGAATAAAAATTTACACTACTTTTTCGAACTACAGGGGTTGTGAGAAATATAGGGTACTAGCAAAATTTTGTCCAAATTTGGACTGTTGAAACTTCGTTGAATATTGTTCGATTTTTAATCTTCAAGAAACATTCGACTGGAAAACTAATCAAGTTTTATGGTGAGGCAATGGAAGTGACCATGGTTACCGGATACCGGAGATATTCCGGGTTTCCTGAGGGCATGTCTAAATTGCTAAATTTGTGATGAGTTTTTCTCAGAGTGTCCGTTACTAATCTGTGTTTTTTGTTCATACACCAAAAATAGAACCATTTCCAAAGCAAATGACGTACCAAGAGCTAAAATCTACTCAGAATCAACCTAGATATGGCCATTTCCCTGGAATCGGTCCTGAAGGAGGGTTCTGAGTGCGGTCAGTTCTTTCATTCACTCAAAACATGCCATGTGACACCTCTTTCTTCATGGTTTTTTACCAATAGGCTGTCTATAGACTTTAAATGGAGCATTGACCACATTGGCCACTTCCGGAACCACCGGAGTGCCCTCGGGGGAACCTGTAGTAGGGGACAAATTCATTTTTTACAAAAATCATGCCGTGTGACACCTCTTTCTTCATGGTTTTTCATCAGTAGGATTTATTAAGACTTTAATTGGATTATTGACCACATTGGCCACTTCCGGAACCACCGAAGTACCCCTGGGGAACCTGAAGTAGGGTACAATTTCATGTTTATGCCAAAATATGCCATGCGACACCTCTTTCTT